TGACCTGAGTACTTCAAGTCCTGTGCAAAAACGCATGGTAGCACGGGCCCGCCCGGTGCGTTCCAGCCTGGGTTAAATACGTATGATTGTGAACTGCATGTTAAAATTTCCATTTTTACGGATAAATGTTCTTTATGCGCTTGAACACGCCGTGGGCATAAAGATATTTTTGCACATTCTCTGAAAACTGAGTCTATTCAGACCAGGATACAAACGAACGTCAAGTATAATATGGTGACATCGTTGCTAGCTTTCCCCTATTTTGCACTCATATTCATTTTCTACCGGCAGTCAAATGGCTTCATCAAATCCTATGATAATTTGTACGAATACTGGTAAGTATTTAGTTTTTTCAGAACATGAATTTAGTGTGGAGCGAGACGAAAGCTGTTTTGCAAAATTAATACCTTATGAAATGCTCTAATTATGTGCAGTTGTGCAGAATGTCAAAGGAAATAAATTCACATGGCGAAACTTAGTTCCGTGGGTTTCGCAATCAGCGCAAGTACATTAAGCCCCAAATATCAATTCAAAACACGTTGCGTAGTTGCGAATTTGCAGTAATGATAACTTTCAAAGAAGAAAACCGTGACATGTTTCAGGAAGACTTTGCCAGTTCTGATTCTGAGCATACTGCACTATGCGGTGGGCACAAGCTTTAGTAGTCGGCAACATACCTATACCTCTCTTGGACTGCTTTTCGGTGCCATCGGCGACTACATTATCGCTCGTCCTGATGATGGCCTCATTTTCGGTGCCGCCTGTTTTGCCACCGGCCACATTTTTTATTTGGTAACTTAATTTTCACACACTTGTGCGTCAGTAACGCAATACAAAAATACAAATTGTCGAGAGACTCTGTCTGTGTGTAAACGTATATAAGTATGCGTGCGCGTATGTGTAAGCCGATTTTGTTCTTCAGTGGAAAATTTTCCAATTTTTGAATCAGACAAAGTAAAACGCTAGAATTCCATAAGGATGTTACTTTCCGTATGCGACCCAAAATCTTAAATCCAAATTTTATTCACGTCTGTGTGTATCACACGCTGACACGTGAAGCCTCACGTAGGAAATTTTTTTAAACTCAGAAAACAAAGAGGGCAGAAAGCTGACATTTTGAGGTAATGATTCTTATCAATATTTGACTCCAAAATTCAAATTAATTTTTTATGTGCATCTAGGTTTAAACACATAGACTCATAAAATTTTTGAGGAGAAATTTTCTGGTCCCGAAACCGAAAGACATTTTGACTGTTTTTGTGCTCATCAATACCAGCAAGCATCTGCTGGGCGAAACATACGCAAACGCGTGGTCGCATCAGGTGCATGGTGCACGCAGCTCTTTATTTCAACTTTCGCATAACTTCCAATGTATTTTATCGCTAGAAATTTCGTGTTTGGAACTCATTTTCTCTAGTTTGCTCGGACTAGGATATAAAAGCACAGCTGTGCTTGATTTGTGGATGCCTTAGCAGCAGGGAAGACTTCATACTGACAGTTCCGATGACAGCGACCGGAATGCCTAAACTTGATTGAAGTTGAAGTTTTTTAAATTCGGAAGCTGCGTTGACCAAAAGAAGATTGATTAGTTCTCAGTATTTCATTTCGATTTAGCTGACATTCGCGCGCCGAGTCAGCGCTCTCTGTCTCGAGCTGCTGCTTATCACAATATTGATAAGTTTTGTGGTACTTTATCAATCAGCTGCAGTGCTACAGTCAAGTCACCCGGTCGCTGCTGCCATTATGATTGTCTATTCGTTTCTTTTGGTGACATGCTTGGTCCTCAGTGGTTCACTTTTCGTCCATGGTGGTCTTTACGACCGCCCACGGCAATTAGTAAGTTCCTATCTAATTTTCACTTTCCCAGGAGTGACTGTGGAAAGTCAACTCTTCTTGTGAATACTTTCCACTGATGATTTATTAAATATGGTCATTTAATTTTTTCAGCATCGGTGTGGGACTCATTTTAAACTTTTATCCCACATAAATTGCATTCGCAGTGGAGGTCAGCTCGAGCGAACATTTTTTTTTTTTTTTTT